TGCATCCACGGAAAGTTTTTGATTATTAACGCTCTTTGTTTAACAAAATGCATTTCGGTAGCTTGACTTACTGGTCAATTACTTGAGTTTAGTGTCTCGTAGAATATCAACATGTCTCATATTAACCACAAGGGTGGTGCATGATTGGTTTGAGCTTGGCTCCAAAGATAAAAAGTACCAGGAGATATCAAGTTCAAATTCAAGAAGAAATAAAAATCCCCTTGTGGCCATGAATGTTCAAATACGATGACTCCGGGTTATCTGCAAAGCAGGTGGTCATCCTGGAATTAGTCGGCTCATATAGCGGATTGAATATCCAGGTTAATAAAAAAATACATGTCTCATATTCAATTTCAGTTCAATGTTTATATTTTTTATTTTTAATGGATGTATTTGTTGTTCATGATATATTCTTGTTCCCTTTATTTATCTCATACACAACTAAACATTAAGAAGATAGGGGCTTTTTGAAACTACTCAAACCTGAGGTGTCGTTTCTGCAATATGATCAAAGAAGAGGGATTATATTTGCAATATAGATGTTGGCAAAAATTGAGTGAGACGTCACTGTTAAGCTTTACGTCTATAAGTTGACCACACGTTACAAATGACTTTTAAAAGTCAACTCATTACAACCCCCTATATTATAACTGGACCTCTAATTTCCATTATTTTATTTTATTAATTTTTTAAAATCATTTTTGGTGTCAAAATAAATAAATTATAAAACAGAAACACAACGATGTCAATGATTCAAGCATCAATGTGTTGTTCGAACATAAAAAAGTCATCTAATCTAATGAAAAAAAACTTTATTATACACTTGTATATTTATAAATGTATAAGATCAACATTATCTATATTATATTATAAAACATTTAATAAAAACTTTTAAAAACTATTTTTTATATATGAAATACTGTATATTGATGCATATTACTTAAAATTCAAGATTACAATACATAAATACAATTCATTAAAGTTCTATGTTTGAATTCGTGTAACTAACTGTAGATAAACATAATCAAATAAAGGATAAACATATTATTTTAATATATAAAAAATCTAAAATATAATTAGGATAATTATCAAATTCTAACAAAATAATTAATTATTTTCTTTATAATAAAATTATATTATTAAACCAAATATAAATTACTTCGTTATTGAACCTAAATTAAACTATAATAAAAAAATTTGGATTAAAAACTACACAAAAAATGATCAATTTTAATTAGTTAATTTGATACTAATATCGATATATTTTGTCAATTTTTTATGATATCTTCAAATTTATATTTATACAAAAATAAAAAACATCATCACTTTTTCAAAATCATATAAGATCATATTATAACATCGACTGAAATAAAGAATAAAATGAAATATTAAAATCAAAATGTATCCGCTGCATTGCGTAAGTATCTTTTTAGTTTATCATAAGTCTCCTTATGTTTTTGAGTTTAGAAAAACTTGTTGATTAATAGTCACTGTTCAAAAAAGCTCGTCGCAATAGTCATCATGGCTCAAGACATGTGTTTCACGTCACGTTAAGTTTGAGGTGCGTTATAATGTAATGCATAGTTTTTATAACACGATATTTGATACTTATCTTTTTTTATGTCTTAGTTGTTAGTGTTTAATATATTAGTTAATTAAATTGTTTATTATCATTGAGTAATGGTACAAAAAAGCACATGTTTATGTATACTAGAAGAGTACCCGCGTAATGCAGCGAGATATATCTCGATTTTAATGTTTTATTTTATTCATTTTCGCTGTTGATAAAATACGGTTTTACGTGGTTTAGAAAACGATAATGTTTTTATTTTTGAACAAAATATAAATTTGAAAAAAAATGTATTGATATTAGTATTAAATTAACATCTTAAACGTTCTCGTTTTCTATGTAATTTTTTTAATTCAAAATTTTATTATAATTTAATTTAGGTTTAATAACAAAGTAATTTGTTTTTGTTTAATAATATAATTTTTGTATGAAAAATAATTAAGTGTTATGTTAAACTCAATGATTATCTTAATTAAATTTTTATTTTTTATATTTAAAATAAAATGTTTATCATGTATTTGATTATATTTACCTGCAGTTAGTTATACGAATTAAAAAAATAAAGTTGTAATAAGTTATACTTATGTACAATTACTTGTAATATTGAATTTTAAAGGGGTGTTTGAGATTGCTTATTTAAAACAACTTATGTTTTTTTTGTAAAAGTGCTTATTAACTTATGTGGTATCAAACCGAATTTAAATAAAACAAGGTTAATATTGTAACTGGTAATAAACAGTTTTTCATAAGTCAGGAAAAATTAACTTATCAAAAACAGCTTATTACCGGTTTAGCACCGGTATAAGCAGTTTTTTTTTCTTATTCAAACACCAGAAAATAGCTTATCACCGGTACCAAACTGAAATAAGTTAAAAAACAACTTTTATAAACAATCACATCAATAAGCAATACTACATTCATAAAAAAAATATTTTTAAGAGTTTTTATCAAATGTTTTATAATATTATATATGACACTGGGATTTACCGCCATAAATCATGCATTGAAAAACGCCTTGACCTCACCGTCACACTATGTCTCACGCTACTTAGAGCCTTGGATATAATTATTCTGTATTTATTTGAAAAATACAATATTATGCTTTTACATAATATATATTTATTTATCAGATTAATTATAAGTTTTTTTTGTCTTTTTCTATTAAAATTGTATTTAAATATTTGCTTATTACTTTACAATTTGTACAGGGTTTTTTTTTGTACGGAAGAATATAAGATATAAAAAAAGAGCACAATTCTGTTGTTGGGGAAAGTTGTCAATTAAGCATACTAATATTTCTTGATGATAATTTTAAATATAAGTTATAAATTTTATTTTTAAATGTTATATTAACAATGAGTTGAAAAGTCTAATAGCAACTTTTATGATGTTGAAGATTTGAATAGTTCTTAGAAACACTTGCGAATCCGATGCATGGTGGTAGGGGTTTTAGATCCCCCAACAAACCTATCAATTTAAAAAAAAAAAAAAAAACTATAAAAAATTTAGTAAAATTTTCTATTGTGCGTAAACAAGGCCCCCCCAACCCCCCAACTTAATATTTTGATTGTTAATTGGTCCATTTGTAGTATGCTTTGATATTTTCGTTTGAAATATAAAATATAAAAATTATACATCTCGATGAATTAGTAAAAAATAAACTGAAAATCGACCTGAATAAGTTATCTTTATTCGGTTAACTGAACCGTATAAGCCGAAAAGGAAAACTCAAAACCTTTTTTTTTTCTATACGACTACACCCTTAAATGTACCCCAACTATAAAAGTTTCTGGATCCGCTATTTTTTTAGAAATCATTTAAGTCGGTAGATTTGACTTGTTATAAATTCATGCTATTAATTGTGAGAATACCTCAATAATATTAAACATGGCAGTAGGTATAACTCATTTATGGTACATAAAATCACGGTATTTTTATTTATACCTATATAAAAAGTCACCACATCATTATTTTTTATATTTAAATTTTATTTTTAATATTCAACTGTTAATTACTGATTTGTCGTTAATTTCATCACAAAATTGAAGTAATGTTACGATAAAAACAACAACGTTATAGTATAATCTTATGACAGAACGTTAAAAAGATGTGCTTTATGTATTAAGCACATGCAGTCTTGTGTTTATCGCATTCCCATATGATACATACGAAAACAGTTCATTTTGTTACGAAACTTATACGTGTATATTTTTCAAGTGAGTTATTTAAAGGTATATCAGTAAAGATACTGTAAAAACTAAGATGTGATATTTGATCTGTTATGTGTAAAAAATAAAGACTTTCTTTATGTTATGAAAAAAGAAACTGAAAATATATATGATTCATGTCAAACTTCTCTTCCATATGAAATGGATAAATTTGAGATCTTTTGGCAATAAATACGATATCTGATAATACTGATAGCATGTGGAAAAGTTAAATGGTGTATGATATTCCACCTCACTTGTTATTGGTTCATGGGTGAATATCCCAAAATTGATAGCTATTAATTGGATTTCATTAATTACTATGACTAGAACTTGTCAAGCATCCATAATATTAAAGATTGTGTGTCTGTATGAATATTTCAATAACACTGTTGTTAAATTGGGATCAGTGGTTTGAAAATTTCAAATACTGAAAAGAGTCGGAAAACTTATTGATTCGTACCGATAAAGTAGTTGTACGTCAATAAGTTTTAAGATGTGAAGAGGGTTGGTAAGAAGATGCAAAAGAGCATCTACAACAAATTTTTATTTTTATTTTTATTAATAATTTATCTAAAATTAGTAATCCAAAGTTAAAATATCTAAAAACAATTAAACTTGACGTCGACAAATTCTCTATATTATAGATTTGAAGTTTAACTATGATGTAGCCAGATCCTAAAACACAACATTTTGACGAGAGGAAGGAATAAAATAAAAACTAACCATATGGAATAGCGATGTAGTCATCGAATTAGAAAACGCTAACCATATAGAAGCAAGGATGGATCGAATGAAGTATTGAAGAACCTGATATATGGTCTTGATTCTTGAATCAGTTGAATCGACTTATTAGAAAAATCAATTTTGTGAATCTGTCACTTTCATGAATCGTTGTGGAGGGAATTAGTGGGAGCGTGTCTGAGTCTCTTAGATAGTGTTATGAGCTTAAATTCTGAATATAGCATTGTAAGTTGTACATTATGCATAAATAACTTGTAATTAAGAGATTTAAGACTAGATACATAAAATAACAGCACTCGGTGCATTATAAGGTACTACATATGATATAAGATATAAACATAAGGAAAAATCAGGGTACTTTTGTGTCTCTTGGGTTTCATAGAAAAAGCCCAATTAAATGTATATATTGGGCTATGGTTAGGCTTGTTGGCCCATGGCTGTCACTGACTGCACCAGCCGTCGTCTTTCTCCTTCGATAACCGGAACAGAACACAGTTAAACCTCTTTTTTTTCTTCAGAATTTAGTAGAAAGGGGCGATATTTGATCAAGATTTCAATTGGGTTTGTCTTCAAACGAAATGGCTTTCCGGCGCCTTCTCGTAGAGGTTTGTTCAGTCGATATAATTCGTTTCTGTGCATTTTTGCATATAAATTTGGGCATTTTGTTCTCAGATTCATGTTAATTTGCAATTTCTTATTGTTACATGAACCCTAATTTAGTTCCCTATTCGGGTCTTAAATGATTTACTGTTTCAGTTAGTTGAGAACCATGAATGACTTGACTGGGTATTCGAAATCACCCCGAAAAGAAGACGTAGAAGGGTTTAAGGGGGTTCTTTTCCCAGTTTGATTTTCAATTGGGGTTATTGATTTAATGTAAAGCTGATCATTGATGTTAGAAGCTTCATTTCTTGCTCTAAGGTTTGCTTATGTTTATGTCATTATTTTGATCAGCCCCCTTCGAAAGAAGTGATTAACCTTGTATGTGGAATGGCTTGCTTTTCAATTTCAAATTGATTTGGATTTGAAGTTAGAATTGTAAATTAAGTTATAAACTCTGGACAAGTATTACAAATGGAGTAATGTGGGTATTGAGTCAATAACAAAATGGAAAGCAACTTTACACACAAAACATACATTGACACCCCCCCTTTTGATCCGGTTATGAAAGGACATATGATGAGTTTGGTTCGGAGTTGCACCTCGTCTAGAGTTCTTGCTGAATTTACTCAACGGGGGGCTAAGAGTTGGTTTCTTATTCACCTGATTGAACCTACAAATTAATAAAAGGATTACTCATCCAATCTTTCAAGAAAGGATCGGTAAGTTAGATGAAATGATTCTTATCTTGAAACGAATGAAAGGTGGAAGGTTGACACACACGCACACACACACACATATATATATATTTGATTAACCTGGATATCCAATCCGCTATGCGAGCCGACTAATCCCAGGGCGACCACCTGCTTTGCAGATAGCCCGGAGTCACCGCATTTGAACCTCTGTGGCCACAAGGGGATTTTTATTCCTCCTTGGATTTGAACCTGGGGCCTCGTGGTACTTTTGACCTTTGGAGCCAAGCTCAAACCAATCAGGCACCACCCTTGTGGTTCATATATTTGGGTCACAAGGAGTGATTTTTCTGGTTTCACTATTCAATGTTCTACAATGTGATTAAAATGTGCTTTAGGATATGTATATTGACTTCTTTTCTACGTATTTTATCCGAGTTTATACTTTTTCCTCTTCTTTATGCGCCTCATGTGATGAAAACCATCTCATACTCTTGACTTTTTATAGGTGTCGAGGCAGCATTCACAGTTGAGGCCACTTAAAAACTTATTTGCATGTTCTTATCATACGTCATTGAAGTTTGGAGGCAATACAGGTTCATATTACCCTATCAATTCAATTGGTTTCCAATTCGTATTTTTCTGCTCAATCTGTTTAATTGCTTTTATCGGTGGAATTTGGATTCTAGACTTGGTTCTGTGGCACATGCTTTTTGATAATTAAACATGCAAGAGATGTATGCAACTTTGCCATTTCTTGATGCCAATTTTATTGATATACATTCTTTGTCTTTATTTTTATTACGTTTTTGCATATGTAGCAGCACGATTGTTAGACTAACGTCTCTTAAGATTTATGATGTCGAGTAAGAAAGCGTCGACCAAGATCATGACTGGGGGTATTCAGGGTGATTGTCTCGGCATGAATTTGGTTGAACTACGGATTATGTCTGAATTCAAGAATGCTATTTCTATTCCCGTCACACCCTATCATCCTAACTTGCTCTTTTATGTTTCTAAATTAGAAGACTAGAGAAACTTGAAATTTGAATCTTCTTTGACCGAAGGAAAATTAGCGAAAATTATGTTACTCCTCTTTCCAGAATGCAAGAGACGTCTGACTAGGCATGTTGTTTGATAGAAGTGTTTGATTGGGGCAGGTTCAAATGAGAATCGTAAATATTTTGAGAACTTGGTAACCAACTATTCATATACTATTCATCATGAATGTTGTGAAAGATTTTCATCATGAAAATTATTCATTATGAAAAAATGCATTATGTTCATGATGAAAATGCATGATATCGTTAACAAGGTTTTAAAAAGCGGAATTGTGCCTCAAGGCGTTTTCCTTCAACGAGGCGAGGCGTAAACCACAAGGCGGACGGAGGCGTAATCCCTGAGGTGGAAATATATATACTACATAAAATATATTTATACCAATCTGCATTACACTGCTTCTACTAAGAAAATATATGCAACATACACACACACTTCACACTGATACGCCTCGTCTGGGGATTGAAAGGCGCCTTCTCAGGTGCGATTTTGGGCCGCCTCGCCTCGAGGCTACGCCTCACACGCTTTTGAAAACCATGATCATGAATAATGAAAATGCATAAGATTCATGATGAATAATATTTTTGAATATTTAGGGTTATTCATTATTAATAATACATGAGATGGTTGGTTCTCAGGTTCTCAAAATATTTATGGTTCTTATTTGAACTTTCCCCGTGTTTGATTATGAGTCAATTTATCGAATAAGATGAAACCTGTGAAATGTACAGGAACTATTAGTGAAAGTCTTGTGCCACGTGCTTCCAACAATCAAGAATGCAACTTTCAACATCCAACATGCTCGATGATGTTGTCAAGGGCATTATACTCTTCTGATGCGAGTACTTTAGAAGTGGGTCCCACAGGTACTATCTTGAATGCATTATTAGGTTCGGTATTTGTTCTCTTGAGAAGGGTATCGTTGTTTAGAGATGTTTATTTGTTTCACTGCAGAGGCTGCTAAGGAATTGTATGATAAGTTGCTCAAATCCGTTATAGAGCAAAGAACCGCACCTCCAAACAATTGGTTATGGACCCTCATAGAAAAATGCGCCAATCGTGAAGACATCAAACTTCTATTTAATGTCTTGGAGAACCTTCGGAAATTTGTTAGTGATAATCTTGTTGCTCTTTGACTGCTGGAAATTTAAGTCCCTACTGTTCATCATTTAAGCTTCTGATTTTATTTTAAGATTGAAATAATTTAGCCAGTATTCATCGTGTTTCCATTGCAGAGGCTATCAAATCTTCGCATTTTTGAAAACTTTAATGACAATCTTTGTCGGGAAATATCCAAGGCATGTGTACGAGTAGAGGCTATTGAATTCGGTATGATATAATATGTAATGCATGTGGCCGTACTTCCATATTGACTTTCACGTTTGTGATGCGAGGAGAATGAAGAATTATATTGTTATTTTTTTTGACACCATTTAATTCGGACTCGTCAAATGTAAACATTAAATTGGCAAACCAGTAGTCTAAGTCCTTTCCATGTCTATAACAGGGAAGAAGACATTGTGGAAACACAATGTTTACGGATTGACTCCTAGCGTTGCATCTGCTCACAGTTTACTGGTATTTTATTTCTTCTAAATCTTCTTAACATTCCCTTCCGTTCTCATTTTTATTTGACTTCTTAAAGATTTTATATCATGTGGTTGTAGTTGTATGCTAAAGAACACAATGATGCTAATCTCTTGGTGGACGTAATGAAACTCCTGAAAGCAAATGACGTACCACTTCAACCTGGTACTGCGGATATCGTTTTTAGGTATGTAAACCAATGTCTTTTTTGTGATTCAAACATTCAACGTTATACTTTTTGATCATCAGATACTGAAGGGTACCGCTTCTATGTGCTTATCCTGGTGTTTATACTGTTATACCATGACATGATCTATGTATACAAATAAGTTTATTAGGTTACTAAAATTTGATGTGTGCTACAGCATTATTGTTCGTTTAGGGTGGATTTGGTATGCAGGATAGGACAGAACAAAAACTTGTTGTCCCACATGTGACTCAAACTAAAAAAATTGCGGGTCTATTACCAAACAAAAAGATGGTTGTTGGCCCCTTTTAGTTGTTGCGAGGAGATATGAAGATAACACCAAACGAAACCAAACCAAATGTATCCGTTTTAGCCCATTTAGAGGTAGGGTCTGAGGAGGATAGGATGTAGGCAGACCTTTTCTCTGCCCAAGGGTAGATAGGTTGTATGAAGATGGTGCAAGTGCAAGTGAATGGAATGTAGAAATCTTTCAAATCACCATTTTTTGAGGTCCATAATGAAATGTTATCGTGGGTCCCATTGGTTCGAAATAAAGATGGGACCCATGAAACACAGGATGGAGAAAAACCGTATAAACGAATGGAATCTTACTTATTTCTCCAATGTTGTTATCGATATCATGCATCTTTCTTGCTTGCAGCATTTGCTACAACACGGAAAGGTGGGATTTGATGTGTAAGTACGCAAAACGGTTTGTTATGGCTGGAGCAAAATTGCGACGAACCTCATTCGATACTTGGATGACATTTGCTGCAAAACTAGGTGCTCATTTACATTTCCTTCGGAAAATATATTTATTCATTCGTCACTGAAAATAAGTATTTGGTCATTCTGGAATCACCTATATTATATATTGGGAGGGACGGGATTGAGTGGGACAAAAATGCATTTCTTTTTTGTCCCACCAAAATAGGTGGAACAAAAATCAAGGAGAAGAGAGAAGATTGGTAAATTACTAACCTACCCATGCAAAATTAAAACCCTAAAATATTCCATGATTCTTTCATCTGCCTATCTCACTATCGCCCATCCAGTCCTTATTGGGTACCAAACGCACCCTTAATGATCAATAATATCAACATCATTCTCATTTGGGCAACATAGTCGAGTCGTTTTGGAAAAGAGGACATGGTCAGAACACTGAGGCATAAACTACGTAAATAAATTTATCTGATATGTATCCCATTTGATCTCTTTACAGGAGACGTTGATAACTTATGGAAGATCGAGAAGTTGAGATCAGGATTGATGAAAACGCACACAATTGGTAGCGGGTTTTCATGTGCCAAGGTATTAATCATCCCGATCATGTTACCCTCTGTTGAACGTGTTTTATTTCAGATGAAGTTGTGGTTCCTTTTAAGAAGCGTTTCGGTGTGATTTGGATTTGACTGGTACAACGAACTGAACCACCCCTGCTCAGTTCTTCTTTTCTAAATTGAACAATTCAACTTTAGTTAAATATCAGTTTCATGCATTAAATCTATTAAGCACGACAATTTGGTATTTGCACGAGAAAAAACCATGAATTGAACTGAACCAACCGTTACAAACTTCAATCGGGCCATACTATCGTAAAACCTAACTAGATTAACTGGTTCAATCTTATGCATGATTTGAGGTACCTATTCGTCTTCAAAACAATATGTACAAATCTTTCTGTGTGTTGAAAATACATCTTTGAAGTTGTGCTGCATTGCGGTTTATATATATATATACACAGAGAGAGAGAGAGAGAGAGAGAGAGAGAGAGAGTTCGTCTTCTAACGGGTTTTTTATCTACTCTCTTTGCAGGGGTTTCTGCTTGAACATAAACCTGAAGAAGCAGCTGCAATGGTTCAAGTCGTCACCCAGGTACTAATTAGCTTCCGTTTTGTGGGTCCCATCATCATTAGCCCGCAAAGGAATGTACCCTATGGGGGATTGTCCAAATGAGAACCCTAAATATTTTGAGAACCTGGGGACCAATTATTCATGATGAATATCATGATATATTCGTCATGCAAGTGCAAGATATTCATGACGAAAATGCATGATGTCATGAGTAATGAAAATCCATTACATTCGTGATTAAAAATATTCATCATGGAATAGTTGGTTTCCGGTTCTCAAAATATTTGTAGGTTGTAAAAAGAGCACTGTTTCACTTCTAATGTCGTTTAATTACGTCATTGTCCTTGGCCGCTACTTTGGGGCTCAAATATATGTTTCTTAAACTAGTAGTTTTACGCTTTGTAACTTGTTAACAGACATTACTGGAGGCAAAGAGGCCAGATATAATGGCAGAACTCGAGAAGCTGGTTAGTGAGTGGCCTTTGGAGATTATAAAGCGTCGAAAAGATGAAGACAAAAAGGTAACTGAATACCATATATCCTTGTAGAAGCTGATTGTTTTTGCTAATCGGCTTTTGCTCTTTCTTTTCCAGGCCTTAGCTGCCGGTTTGCAACAAGATATCTCTGCCATGATCCACAGTCTTTCAGGGTTGGGCGTGAAAACGAACGTAAAAATGGATGATTTGACCAAAATGCCCTTGTGAGAGTCAAAAAATTGGATGTTTGTAAGGCACCTTGGCTCTTCATACGGAAAGAATGAGTCGTTAAATTTGACATTTTCAAGAAACTTTAGTATTCGACGTTAGAATGACCCCGATCCGATCAAAGTTTGGCCTCTTGAAGATGGATGGTTATTAACAGGTTTTGACTATTTGAAATAAATAGCAATTGCAATATTTGTTCTGTACCATTGGATGTCTTGCTATATCCGATGTATGATGGTCGAGATCATTGTGTTTTTGATCGTTGATGGTCGAGATCATTGTGTTTTTGACCGTTGATGATCGATCTGATGATTAGTTGTTCATTCCGTTTCGTTGCACGAGTAGAACACATAATATGGAGTATATAGAAAACATATCTAATTCATCTCATACATATTATGAAGCATAATTGGATCATTGAATAAAACCAATAAGTATGAGATGATTGAAGAAATTTTTCAGAGGCACCTCTGTCTTGTTGTTCTCTTGTCTGATAATAGGTAAATCAATATCTTATTTGTCTTTTATTATTCTTCAAACCCTCAACAACAACATTTCTCAATCGATTAATCTTAATCGATCATTTCTCTCAATCGATTCTTACCAAATCAATCATCATCCCTCTCAATTGATGTATTTTAATAGGATTTAAATGTTTTAAACACTGTTGATGATATATTTTCGTTTAAATGAATGTTAATAATATAATTTAGATGTAAATTTCGTAATGATAATAAATAAATATGTGAAATTGTATAAGTTTATCAACATTATAATATTTTTAATGGATAAAATAGAAAATTTAAACAAATTAAAACATTTATCAGTTTATCATCTGTCTCGTATAGAATAGCAGCTTAGCTTAGGCTGTATATAAGATTTAAGTAAAGGGTAAAAAGGACATTTTCATTCACAACTTAAATATATTACTTTCAAGTAGACACAAATCCAAGCCAAGCTACATTAACAATACACCCAAAAATAGGTACCTTAACCAAAAGTGGTACTAATGTAGCTCTTGGCTACATTGTCGCAAAGGATTTGCAACACTCTATGGTTAACCGGGGTCACACACCGCGGTGTCTTGAACTGGTTCAACGCCGACCCTAACCCGACGTAGTGATCTAGGATCTTCTGGAAGGTTCCCCTCCGTAAAACTCGGAGCTCTAGAGGCCCGATTGCTTTGACCTTTCTTGAGCTCACGTAGCCCGCGTCAACAAATGATTTGTCCAAGCAATTGCAACATTCTTTCAAAACCTTATCGCTCGCCTCCCCGCTCACCTCCCAAAAGATCACATAATGGCCAGGCTCGGAAGCAATGTCGACGTGGCTTGTGAAGTCGACAACTTCGAGTTTTTCAGCTGCTAGGAGCTTTGCAGCTGCTTCCACGGATAGTTGTAGATCTTTTTCGGTGTTTTTGTCGATGTTGATTGTGAGCATGAGGTTTCTTCTACAAACAAATTGGAGTTCTGGTGTCGCGTTGTGGAACCCGATAACCTTAACCACGTCACCTAGCCTGTATCGATACAAACCTGCAAGCCAAGAGTCAACAATTATAGTTCAGAATTACCCCCTTGGTTACAGGTTAATCTGAGAACCATAAATATTTTGAGAACCATAAATATTTTGAGAACCGTGAGAACCAATTATTTAAATGAATATTATGATAGATATCTATGAAGAATAGTATTCATCATGAATGATGAATATACATGAGTGATAAATGATATGGAAACATATGGTATTCATAATAAATGATGTTTGTGAATATTTAGGAATATTCATTATGAATAATCCATAAATTGATATTCATCATAAATAATGTTTGTGAATATTCATTATAAATTGAATAGTGTCACTACTTAGAAAACAAACCGATTACCTGCAAAATTGGTGATCACAACCTCATACTCTTCGCCGATTTGGACATCGGTCAAGCCCACAGGTTTGGGCTCGACCGGGCAAAATGTGAAGTCGGGTTCATCTTGATCCCGGCTAGCCATATCGATCTCTCTCAACGGTAAGAATTCAAAATACCCAATATTTGGAAGGACAGCATAAGTGGTCCTCTCCGGTGGCATATTTGGGTTGACGTTTGCTCCGATCCACCCTTCCGATGATCCATAATCTGCGCTCAGCAATCGTACTTTGCCAGCATAATGCCGTAGTTTTTTCAAATACATCTCCATCGAACCAGTCATGATCCCATAAATGTACTTACAGTTAGGAAACACTTCATGGATCAACCCGTTCCAATCAGTTAAACCCAAACACTTCCTGTGAATTTTGTCCGCCAGTTCAGGGTTCGGGGTCAGAACCTTGCCCATAGCGGTTCTGATCGATGGAACCGTGATCTTGGCGGACAAAACTCCGTTTCTGATATCGGAACAGAGTTCTTCCCACACCAGCTCGAAGGTCCTAAACGAATGAACTATGCTATGTGCAAACGTCGACGATATGACTTGAATTTCTTCGTGGAAAATGAGTCCGCAAAGGAGATGACAGTATAAAGATTGATGGAAATCAGGCCCGAAGATGACTTCATCCGGGCTACAACACGGGGTTTGCATCGCCCGCATCGTTTTCTTGAACTGTGCGCTACGGTATACGTTTGTAGTTGCGGTTCCCGCTAGTAAACCACCTTTGGTTGTGAACTGCTTGCTTCCATAGATGAAACTCAAAGCTTTCCCATTGTCAATTGGAAATTCCCTAAAAAATTAACGTCCATGAGTTACAAATCTTTATAGACTCTAACACAAACGTAATCATAATGTTTGTCAAACTAGCAATAGCTAGCAGATAAATTAGCTGATGGTTGATAAACTAGCTGATTAACCAATACACACTGTGTTGTCAGAATACCTGTTTCTGAAAGCAAAAGAAGTACGATAAATCTGCATTGTGGTTTCCGTCAATTCGTCATTGTACGGTACAAACTTGGGCTTCCCTTGAGTAGTACCAGAACTACAAACAAACAAACAAACAAACAGTGAATCAGCTCAGTTGGCTCCAGGATGGTATACTCGGTAAATAACCGAATATTACGAGAAGATCTACCTTAATGTAATTGTTGTGATGGCTTTTCCAGTAAGCACAGGATGGGATGCACCATCAGCAATTTTCTGAATATAAGGCTCAAGATCTTTGTGGGTAACAACAGGAACACAAGAACTGTAAGTTTGAGGATCAAATCTTCCATCAAGATTCCATTTTTTCAGGTATTCTGCTTCACCATTTTCTTTCAAGATTTTCTGTAAAGTCTCAATTTGAACCCTTTTTGCATTTTTGGTTAAAGATTCAAATTCTTCAATCACTTTTTCTGAAGCAAATCTGCTGTCCATTTTCTTTTTGATCCTGCAAAAGGAATTTGGCACCAAGTCAAGCAGAAGGAAGATGAATTCAGACCAAACACAAAATTCAGCTGTTCCGTTAAGTCATCTTCTAAATAATGGAACTTGACTGTTCAGTCAAGAAGAAGTTACCAGTAGTTTTCGTTTTGTGGGCTTATTCCAACCAGAAAAAGACATGTAGGGACATAGATGGCTGCAGATTGGTTTGGTTATTTTGGGATCTTCCCAAAATAAACAAAATCATAAAATTTTATAACAGATGTAAACATCTGGATTTACTGATTTGATTTATAATAAAACAATTTTTTTTAAGTATATTTTTCTATCTGAAAATGAAAGAAACTTATAATCTAGTAATGATTTTGAAAATAAGATCAATTTTAAATGTTTTTAAAATAATTAAATTAATAAAAACAAATTTGTTGTAATAATTTCTAGTGGACAAAGGAAAAAGTAATATATTTATTTTTACTGTTTATTCTATAATTTATTTATTTTTATCTTTTATGCAGGAAAAAAAAGGATAAAATTGAACATGTTTAGATTCAATGAACATTATGAAAAGTGAGATTAAATAAATATTTTTTAATTAATATTTAATAAATAAAAAAAGGTTAATCCCACTTAATTATATTAAAAATTATAATTTTACAAGATATTGGTGATCCCACTTAATTATATAAAAATATATTATCATTTGCTGATGAAAAATAAATAGAAAATTTTAGTGGATCTTGGAATCAGGAACCGAATATCTTAAAATGGATCACAGAGATTCAGACGAAAGAATCAAATCAACAATGCATAAATTTCGAATCATGTTCAAAAAATAGAAGAATTTAAGCACAACAACAGTTTATGCAGCAGCTGCAATGGCGATGAGAGCTGAAAACAGACTCTCAGTTCGTCAAGAAACACGTAGAACACACAGTAGAAAAAGCTTTACAAATAAGAGATTTGAGTTCGATTTGTGTCAAAAACAGAGACACCCAGATCACCAAGATACACAAAGCATGAGAGATTGTAAAAATGGTTGACGATGGTAGTGTTGGATTCGTATGAAGAACGAAAACACCCAAATCATCAAGAAACACACAGTCGAGTGTGTGTTTCAGATTTCAAATGGTTTCTGTTCGATTAAGACGAAAACCAGAGACAACCCATCAATCAGAAGCACAGAAAGACACAGAGAAGAGAGAGAGAGAGAGAGAGAGATTTACAAACTGGATGATGATGATGACGACGTGGTGAGTTCTGTTCGATTCAGACACCTAAATTCATCAAGAAACACACAGTAAAGGCACTATGAAGCAAGTAAAAAAGGAATCGGTTTGATCTTGAAAAAAGTGTTGGATTGTAGCGAAAGGCACGGTGGGAAGCATTAAAATATAAAGAAATCGAAGAAACTTTTGTCTGTTTCTTGGTGAATATGCACACAGAAACACAAACACAGAGTGGACTATGGACACAGCTGTGGATCAATGAGTACATATTTTAATAGTATTCGTGTTCCTTTTTCTAGAGAGAGAAACATGTGTAGAGAGAGAAAAGAGTAGGTGGTGGTTACCTTTGATTTTTGAGAGAAGCGAGGAGGTAATGGAAGATTCTGTTGTAGCAGGGTCGTATATATATAGCCTTCATGTATGTATGAACATCTCTACAATGTCCGCAGCAACATTTATTGCAATTTATGTGTTCCCAAATATTAATATAATATGATTTTTTTTAGCTTGGTTTCAAATGTTAAAAATATCAAGAGGTTTCAGGTTTAAATTTAATGAAGAACAAAAATTCCTTTGTGGTCATGGATCCGGACTATCTGTAAAACAGGTGGTCGTCCTGACATTAGTCAGCTCGAATAGCGGGTTGAGTATCCAGGTTAATAAAAAATATATTGTTTTATTTAATAATAGTTTCTTTTTATTAAAAATTTAAAATATTTAATATAAATATTAGTTTCATAAGTTTATTAATTTACCATGTATTACTTGTATGTATGATTTTAACGCGTCGTTTGATATAATTAATTCACAAGAAAATCAAAGGGTTGTTATCGCTTATATAAGTTAGTTAGAATTTGTGATCGTTGGATGTCATCATATTGCAGGGTCAAGGGGGTTGCGTGCTAGTGGAATCGAAGGGCATAAACCTAAGTGAAGTTTTAAAGAGGAGTTCACACTAACGATGTTAATGCCTGGTGGATTTCAATGGCTTTTTGTTAACACTGATGAATCTTTTTTTTAGTGGTGCTAATGTGGGTCGATGTGTACCATCAGTGTCATAGATCAATGTAACACGGATGTTAATGATGATCTGGTTTTACCCGTTGGTGCTGACCAGCGCGTGTAATCATTGATGCCACCAATTCGTAGTTGATTTTAACCATCATGTAACCATCCACTATGTTAATATAAAGATGGTTCCAAAAGGTGTATTCATTATCGTTTTTATTGTACACGTCGTTACAAATTTTTCTATGTTGTCTCGCTCTCGATAATCTGTCTAAATCAACGGTGTGAATTAAGAAGACCATTTTTCTTACGAAGATTTGAGGGTAAAATATTATTTAAGAAAAATGATCTTCTACACGATATCAGATCCTCACCTAAATCTTTGTCTATGACTTCTCACAAACACCTTTTCAAGATTTTCCAACAGTAAGTGGCCGTTTTCCAAACGCTTACCAGATAAACGTCTATCAGATGTCACTTACTTTATTTTGTGAACATGACAAAACCGAGAATCGACATAAAGACCGAGAGTCTTATACGGTAAATGAATAGACGTTTACATAGTAAAAGATGTCTACCACCAATCAATTTGATGACGAAAATGTTACTGATAACGTAAGTGGCGGTTAGCTCTTATAGTAAACGCTTACGTGATAATGTTTGGTAGACAGTAACAATCATAATGTCATATATATTTAATTATATTTTAAAACATTTGACTAATTAAATCATACTTAATAAAGATAAAAAAGTAATTTCCTTTTGAATTTTGTAATAAAATAAGCAATAAACACATTTCTTTTGATGAAAATAATAGTAGTTAAATGCAATTTAACATAAGATAAGCAGCCATCAAATAAACACGACAATGACGTTAACAATAACAAAATATGCAAATTGCATGAAAAGACAAATTAAAAGATAATTTCCGATACTTTTAGAAAATATGTGATATTTATTTTATTTTCATGTATCAAAATATTTTTTGAATTTCTCGTATTAAAAAATTAATACTATGAACAGAGATATGTTTAGGATTTTTAGATGTCTCTGACATATAACTCAGTTGATATGTTAGGATTTTTGGTGTTTAAATCAAGTTTTTCCAAAAATACAAGAAAATGAGTTGTTTATTGTTAAATATGATTAATAATTTTTTATGTCTTTAATTTAACATATAATTGAATAAACAAAATATTATTACTAATTTTTTATTTGAATTTTTAATCATAAGTCAATTATTGATACTATAAAACAATTTAGGACCTTTTTGGTTTGTATGTTTGTAAATATTAGTGGGTCCCGCATTTAGATGTTAAATATCCAAGGAACCAATAATGCTCTCTTTAAATGTTTTTATGTTAGCTAGAAAGATATTTATGCAGTTCAGCGAGATATATTTTGATTTTAATATTTTATTTATTTTTTATTTCAGTCGATGTTATATTATGGTCTTATGCGATTTTGGAAAAACGATTATTTTTATTTTTGAATAAAATATAAATTTGACAAAAATATATCGATATTAGTATCAAATTAACTATTTAAAATTCATATTTTTTGTGTATTTTTTAATTCAATTTCTTTTATTATAATTTAAATTTGGTTCAATAATAAAGTAATTTATATTTGGTTTAATAATATAATTTTCTTATAAAGATAATAATTAATTATTTTTTTAGAACTCGATAATTATTCTAATTATATTTTAGATTTTTTATATTTTAAAATGAGATGTTTATCCTCTATTTGATTATGTTTATCCGTAGTTAGTTAGACGAATTCAAACATGGAACTTTAATAAGTTGTACTTATGCATAATTTACTTGTTCTTGAATTTTAAGTAATATGCATCAATATACAGTACTTTATGCATAAAAATTGGTTTTTTAAGAGTTTTTGTCAAATGCTTATTAATATAATATAGATATATAAACCTTAGGGTTTTTAAATAATTTATTTTTTTAAATAGTGAAATTTTCATTAATGCTAAAGAGTTGCAATATATTTTGATGGCATAACGTATGTAAATTATGTTTTGATTGATATCCAACTGATTAAACAAGAACATCATATACATGGTCTGATATAAGTAGATCGTCCGACCCAATTATATCAGCTTCAAAACTAGACTAAATGGTAGTGAATGATCAAGACAAGGACTATTAGAGTAGCAATGAAAAAATAAAAGGGACTGATTGGTATAATCCAAACCTCTGGGCTGCATTGTGAACGTAAACAGGGATTTGCAGAAGTTCGGAAAAGAGATGCGATGATTAATAGGAGAAAAAGTGAGGTTTTGGGTTGTAGGGGAAGCAGAAGAAGTGTTATGAAGTTAAAGAGATTTCAGTCGAATTTTTAATGTAAGAATTTACCCAAACGTATATCTTAGTATATAGGCAGTGATGTAGGACGTTTTATAAGGGTTTTATGTGAAATGTCATGGAAACATAGGCATTTTATGGCCATAAAATTTGATTGGAAATAAAATTATATTGCTAATCGACATTATATCAAATTATCATAGTTTAGTATTTTAGTTTGTATCAAATTCAGTATCAGATGTTTCACATGTTGAAGTTACAGATTTCATATTGTTTAAGTCTTCCTTTGTGAATGGTAGTAGAATGTTTTGTTGGTATATTGGCTTGAAAGACAAATATCTGATGGTTGTATGTGTATATATTGAGTCATGAAATATATTAAAAAAATGCATTGTCTAACTCGTTTTGTTTATCTTATCTTTCTATGCTGCATACTTACATATAAACATAATGAGACAATAATGTTGTATTATTAGACA